CCACGACCAGACGCTGATCACCATAGGGGGCTACTGCCCGACATAGCCTACCAAGGGCAAGCACGCGCGCAAGGACTACTTCGCCACCACGGCTAGGCTCTTCGCATGGATGGGGACAGTCACCAATACCAGGCCGCGCGATACCATCATCACGGCGGGCGGCCTGAACGACGGCGTGGGGATCGCACAGAAATGAGCTCGACCAGACACGCCGGCAGTGGGGCCAGGCAGGGCGCCAGAAAAACTAGCAGGAAGAGCAGGCCATAAGGCCCGCCAGTACGCAGAACGACATGGATTCGCAATCGTCAACACTATGATCTCCTGGCGCCTAACATATTCTGGCGAGAAGAACGCGAGTTGCGTTATGATCCAACAAGGCTTGTTCGAGGCGCTTGTCTCGCACGGACCACCTACTACGCATGGGCGCGCGACGACAACATATACGATGCAGAGCAAAACGCGACCACGTACCAGTACAAGTCGCATTCCGACTCCCACTGCGGCAACGAGTACATCATCGGCACCAGCCGCCACGATGGGACAAGGATAGCCTGGTCCAAGCAGAGCGGCACGGACTTCACCGCCTAGATTTCATCGCAGACGTGGAGGTGGCAATCACACAGTACGACCCCGTGGGCAAGGGCGTGGACCAGCTATTCAACGACATCGACGAGCTTTTAGCGCAGAGGCGCAGAATCACTACTGGCCTCAACCTAAGGCGACGGACGAGTACGATCAATTTCGCGGAGACCGCATGCAACTACTTCGAGACCGACGAGAAGCTAGAGCAACACTCCACGACTTACATGCAGAGAGGATTGCGCGGTGCCTTAAAGGAATCAGACTCCGACGAGCAGCACCCCCCCACAGCGGCACCATCAGAGATATGGCGACGTACTTCTGTGTCCACGCGATGCCCATCCAATAAGACAGCGCCGCGGACTTGGACTGCGCAGAGACGAGCGAGAACCATGACAGTTTCATGCGTTATTCAAGGCGGCGCTGGCAGCGATGTGAACTGGCAGCGGGGCGCCGCTGCGATGGCGTCAGAGCGCGGCAGCAGCTGTAAAGAAGAACATGAAGAAGTGCCCCGCGGGCAAACGCATCTACCGCATCATGGGCCCGACAGGCAAGGCATTCTGCGCAAGAGGGCTGCGGCGCACGCAGACTATACTACGCAGTGACCAGGACTGCGGCTTCATCGAGGGCAGACGCAGAGATGGACAAATACTCACCATGGCGGTGGTGGAGTGCATAACAATACGCGCGTGCTACCACTGAGCCTCAACGATGAAAGACATGCCCAACGCGTGCGCGAGCTGCTCTTGGATTGCGATGGACGCGGCCAACAGCGTGGTCGTGCCAGACGACCTTCGGGACATGGGCAAGAGCAACGATGCCGACGAGCCACGTTCAACGTCAGCTGAAGGGATGCCGAGGAGGGCGTCTGCATCAGGCTGCACTGGGAGACTCATCGTCGGCGACCCCGACGTGGCGTGCAACTTCGCGGCGAGCTTCGCGCCGCGCGTGCAGGACTGGATCGCCGACTGCCTGCAGCGCAGAGGCGACGAACGTCGGGGGGCTCTACGGCGCCGGCGAGCTCTTCCAGCATCCAGTGCATGGGCCTGACGAAGTACGCGGGCGACTTGAGGGAGCTGATCCTTGGTCAGAACTACGCTGGTGCACATCGGCTAGTTGGGCGGGCGCGGAAGGTGGGCGAGACGCTGAACGCGCGCCTCAACGAGGTTGGTTTCAAGCAGAACCAGGACAGACAGGAGGCCATCATGCGCTTACAGGGCTGCGGGGCCAGCCAGGCCCACGAGGACATCAGGAAGAACCCGCAGTGCAAGATGCCAGGCAAGGTCGTGGAGGCGGCGCGGTGCCTGGGCCCGCGTGCGACGGCGACGCAGAGCCACCGCCGCGAACTCAAGAAACGCACCCAGGCCATGAGGAAGGGCCGCAAGGAGCGCGGCGGCTGCGGGGCGAAGAAGGGCATTCCGTGCAGATGGAAGCGGGGCGTGCTCATCTGCCGGGTGATCAACGCAGGCCTCTCCTGCGTCGAGTGCTTCTTGCGGGCGCCGAACGAGCGCCGGCTACTGCGCAGCGCGATGGGCGCGCTGCTGATGAGGGCCATGGCTGGCAAGGCGAGCGCGCGCCGCGCGGGCGGCGCAGTCCGCGGCCTGGCGACGCTGGAGGTCTTCCGCTACTGGCAAATACTGCCACCAGCGGAGGAAGCACCGGTCCAAAGACTTGGTTGGACAGAACGCGCTCTGAGATTCCCGGGCAATCGCGGGCAGCCTATCGTCGCCCTGTTCGGGCGCATCGGATTCGAGCACGTTGGCGACGACGATGGGGGGCGACGCGAACGGACCGACAACAAACGCGAACCCCTGGGCCCGCAGAATCGCGGGGGGCGCAGAGAAAGCGCGCCAAGTTTCGGAGAGCTTCAGATCTATATTCGGGGAGGGGGTCACGACCGGAAAAGTGTTCGCGCTCGTTGCTAGGGAACAACTTCACCTGCTGGATGTCTGAGAAGTCAGTGCAGCTAAACTGACGGTGGCAACCCCCCTCCTGGACAGGCGCAAAACGACGGACTTCGAGGGTTGTGGGGCTTTCAGCCGTGGGCGTGCGAGCTCAGGGGGGTGGGTGGGGGCAGGCGGAGTGTGGGCTATTCTTCTCGAGCAAGATAGCGTCGCGCAGTCGCGCCATCACAAATCGTCGCGTGCATGACCTCGCAGCGCAGCTCACTGCTAACGGCGAGTGCATCAATTGCCGCCGGGCGTTCGCGAGTCGGGGGGCAGCTTGGAAACGTCTCGAAATAAGTATGATAACGGGGGGCTGCAATCCAGGCAGAACGAGAAATCAGAGCCAGCCGACGAGACCGCAAACTAAGTGCCCGATCTGCAGCCATTTCGCCTTAGACGAGGCCTCCTTCTCCCAGCGTCCCTGCAGGCGCTTGCCGAGGCCGATCCAGCATAATCCCGGAGAAGATGGCGCTTCTCGAACAGCGCCCGCAGCGGGCGCCATCAGCGCCGGCGCCGGGAGGACCTCCGCGACCGGTCCGCAGCCGACGGCCGCGACGTCCACTTGAGGGCGCATCGGCAGGAGCGGCGGGAGGGGGGCAGCAGCGCCCAGCGCGCAGGCGTGGACCTCGCGGCGCGGCCCGCCCTCGCGCTGGCCAGGGGGCAGGCGGATTTAGCGGCGGCGGTCGTGCAGACGCGGGAGATCGACGCCGACAGCGGGATCGCCAGGGCAGTGTTGGACGCCGAGCGAGAGCGGAACCAAGCAACTCAAGCCTTGCGGCGACGCGCAGGCCGGGTAGAACAAATGGATGCGGCATCGCTCGGCAGCCCACGCGTCCGCGCGTGGGCCGAGGTGGCGAACTACATGGGGCGCGCGATGGGGCAAGGAGCGGAGAGAAACCGCGTCGACAGGTACTGCCAGGACACAATCTTGAATGACAGCGCGGAGCAGGTCTCGGACAACATCCTGCGCTTCAGGGTCCGCAAGAACAAAGGAAAGGAAGGAGGCGCTCAGGAGAGGTGCCAATTCCAGTTTCAGGTCAAGACGATGCATCGCCAGCTGGAGACGATCAGCGCGAAGCAGCTGCGCAAGGACGGATCACTTCGCGAGCTGGGATCGGCATCGAGGGGCGCTTTGGAGTGGGAGTTGGGGCGACTGAGCAACGGCCAGAAAATGGAGTGGAAGGCGCACCTGCGACGCAACGCTCGCGCTTGGCCGCAGGGGCTCGTGCGACGCTAGCAGCGCCAGGGCGGCAGTGAGAGACGGGGCGCAGTGCAGATGCACCCTCCTGCGATGCACTCACGCTTGGCCGTGGGGGCTCGTGAGACGCAAGCAGGACGGATGAGAGACGCGCGTGAGCCGACCCAGATGGAGACGACACATCGTCGTGGAGAGGGTGAGCACGCTGTGCGCCTCTGCCATTTCTCGCAGGCTGCTGCCGCCCGCGCCATACCGCAGGTATTCAGAACGAGCGAGCGGTTTCGAACGCTCGTTATGGAAGGCCGACTCCCAGCCCCCCCCCTCGTCTGAGACTCCCGGCCTCTTCCAACTCCGTGGCCCGAGTTTTTCCCGAGTATTTTGTATGTTGGGTCTCTTCTCCACCACCGCCGCCATGCATTGGAGGGGGGAGGGGGTTCTCCTCCTTTTCCTTTTCTTCCTCCTCCTCCTCATCCTATACCTCCTTCCCCCTCCAACTTATGGTGGTGGTGGTGGTGGTGGTGGTGGTGGAAAACAGGCCCATCGTTGTAGCGCACCGACACCCCCCCGAGCCGAGGCGAAAGGGCATGGGACGGGGGGGATCCGAGTAGGAGCGGGGAAGAGCGAGAGAGAGAGAGAGAGAGAGCACTCGTGAAACGGGTGCTACCCTGCCCGCAGGCCCCCTGCGTGGGGGGAGGTCGGTGCAGGATGGGCCCGAGCGTCTACTGACGCTTGCGACCCCCTTTCAGGAAAGTGTCGAGAGCTAGGGCGCTTGGATTTTGTAGAAGTGCGATGTCCTTGAGGCGAGAGTAGCACCGAACAGGCCCGAGAGCTCGATCGATCGATCGATCCTCCTCTCCCTTCCCTCCTCCTTCCTTCTCTCTTCCTCTTCCTCCTCCTTCCTTCCCTCCTCCTCGTCCTCCCCCTCCTCCTTCTCCTCCTCCTCCTCCTCCTCCTCCTCCTCCTCCTCCTCCTTGTTCCTTCTTCCCCACCCGGCCCCGGTCCGATCAGAACCCGTCCCTGGACCCCTCGCGGGGCCAATCCGTCCCAGTTTGGGCGCCCAGGGCCGGTGTTTGGCGACCGCGGGGGCCCGAAACAGGCACCTGGAGGCCGAACTCGAAGAATACCTTCGGGTGTGACCAGTCTAATCCTCTTCCACGGCGCTGGGCACCACGGCGCCACGGCTCTGTTCTTCGAGGGGCTGCGCTTCAGGCGCGCGTTCGAGCATCCGTCCGCCTGTCCCGATACTCCCTATTCCCCCTCCCCCTGCTCGGCCTGAGGCCCGCGGCACCTGCGAGGGCGGCCGCCTGCCGCACGCGCGAACAGAGCCGAAGGAAGCTCAAGAGGCGTCCCGCGGCCCTGGCCCTTGCAGCCCCCCTCCTCGCGGGCGGCGCCGCCGCCAGAGTGCCCGAGACATGGCGTGGAGCCCTCGGCTGCCAGCGGCGGCGGCCAGCGGCAGCGACGCTGCCGTCGCCGCCGTCGCCGTCGCCCGCGCCGCCGCCTTCGCCGTCGCCGCCTTCACCCGAGGGATGGATGATGTGGGACCGTTGGATGCTGCCGGCTACCGCGGCGACGACGACGGCGATGGAGTGCGCGCGATCGCGCGCGGATGCCCAGAAGCGGCCCGAAACGGAAAAGTGCTCCCCGGGCAAGGCTCCTGGGCCCGTGGCCTCGGCCCCCCCCGCGGAGCCCGCTCCCTGATGGCGGACGTAGCCCCGCCGGCCCCTCTTCTCCCGTGGGCCGAGCGCAGCCGGCACGTCGGCCTGGTGTCTTTCCCTTGTCGATCTCCGCAGGCGTGCACGTGAGGTTGTTCAAGCTGCCCGCCCGCAGCCGAGGCGCGCCGACGGGGGGGAGGGGCGATCGGGTCGGCCTTCCGACAGGCAAGGCGCTTCCCAGGAGGGGCCGGAGCTGCGAGGAGGCCTCGCGGAGGGCCAGAGGGGCTCCACGAGGCCTCTTTTTGCATCTCCTTGGGCCTTTTGGGAGAAGCCAGCGTGCTTCCCGAAAGTGAGCGGAACCCTCTCCGATCTGCACGCGCACATGCCACGGTAATGGCCTGGCGACGAGGACGACGCTGCTGGCCGCGGTGGTAGCAGCGATGGTGGCCCAGGGCATGATATCCGTTCGGTTTTGACGGGGATCAGCTGCATGCAATCATGCGCGCTGACCAGGAGGAGGAGAAGGAGGAGGAGGAGGACGACGACGAGGAGGAGGAGGAGAAGGAGGAGGAGGAGGAGAATGAGGTGGTGCGGCGCAGAGTGGAATGCGGTCGGATTGGGAAGGGCGCGTAGCTGAGGTTGAGGCACGAGTTCCGCTGCGAAGATCTTGACGAGGAGCACCATGACCACATGCACAGCATGCTGGAGACGTGGAAGCAGAGCTACTCAAGAATGGCAGAGGATCGGTGCCAGCTCCTCACCTCCTTCTCCTCGGCCACCTCGTGTCTCACTCTGCCGTCCCGCACCCATCGCCTCGACATCCCCGCCCTCTGGTCTCTGAGCCCTCGTGCCCCTGTTCCTCTCGTGCTTGCCTTCCCTGGGTCAGAGTACCACCACGCTCCGCCAAGGCTTTACCGTTATGTCAGCTGCTGAGCGCACGGAGGGGCTTGAGATGGAAATGAAGTAGGGGGGAGAGGGGAAAAGGAGGAGGAGGAACACATGATTCGTGTTGGGGAGGAGGCGGATGATGATGAGGAGGAGATGGATGCTGGATGATGGGCGATGGAGGATGGATGATGGATGACGGATGATGGATGATGGATGGTGATGGCGAGGACGAGCATGACGACGACGTCGACGACGACGATGATGCTGATGATGCTGATGATGCTGACGACGACGACGACAACGACGACCACGATGACGACGACGATTATGATGATGAGGATGAGTACGTCTCTGATGATTATGATGACGATGACGATGATGATGCCAACGACGGTGATGATGACGACGATGACGATGCTGTTGTTGCTGATTATGATGATGATGGTGGTGATGAGAGTGATGATGATGGTTAGGCTGAGGAAGGTGGCAATGATGATGATGCTGATGATGCTGATGATGCTGATGATGCTGCTGATGCTGCTGCTGATGATGCTGCTGCTGCTGCTGATGATGATGATGATGATGATGATGATGACGATGCGGATAATGACGATGCGGGTAGGGATGATGATGCCGATGAGGATGATGATGATGAGGATGATGAGGGGGAATAATATGCTGATGATAATGATGATCATGATGCTGATGATGCTGCTGATGATGACGACGGTGATGATGATGCTGATGCTGTTGATGATGATGATGATGACGACGATGATGATGATGATGAGGATGATGATTGTGCAGATGAAGGTGTCAATAATGCTGCTGACGATGACCATGATGATGACGATGCTGATGATGATGCTGATGGTGATGATGTTGATGTTGATGCTGATGCTGATGATGCTGATGATGCTGGCGATTATGATGTGACGATGCCGATAATGATGCTGCGGGTATTGATGATGATAGGGAAAAGGATGTGGATGATGAGGAGGAGGGGGATGATGATGATGCTGCTGCTGCTGATGATGCTGCTGATGATGATGATGACGATTATGACGATGCTGCTGCTGATAACGATGATGCTGATGATGACGATTATGATGGTGATGCTGTTGCTGGTGATGATGTTGATGATGTCGCTGATGCTGATGCTGACGATAAGGATGATGGTGACGACGGTACTGATGACGATCATGCTGATGACACGACTGATGATGCTGCTGGTGGTGGTGGTGGTGCTGATGATGCTGATGATGATAAATATGCTGCTGCTTGTGATGATGATGCTGATGATGCTGATGCTGATGCTGATGCTGATGCTGCTGATGATGATGCTGTTGATGATGCTGATGCTGCTGCTGCTGATGATGCTGGTGGTGATGATGATGGCGATGCTGACGCTGATGCTGCTGTTAGTGGCGATGGCGGTGGTTCTGACGACGATGACGCGGACGATGCTGGCGATACTGCGGATGATTGTGATGGTGCTGGTGGTGATGTCGATGCTGATGCTGCTGATGATGCTGATGATGACGGTGATGATTATGATGATGGTGATGCTGAGGCTGATGATGACGCTGCTGCTGGCGATGATGCTGATGCTGATGATGATGGTGATGATGCTGTTGCTGCTCGTGACGATGTTGATGATGCTGGCGATGTTTATGATGCTGATGCTGCTGCAGATGCCGATGATGATGGTCATGCTGATGCTCGCGCTGATGCTGATGCTGATGCTGATATTGATGATGCTGTTGCTGCTGCTGATGATGCTGATGGTGATGATGATGATGATGATGATGATGATGATGATGATGCTGATGATGATGCTGATGATGCTGATGATGATGATGATGATAATGATGATGATGATGATGATGATGCTGATGATGATGATGATGATGCTGATGATGATGATGATGATGGTGGTGGTGGTGGTTGATGATGAGGAGGATGAGGAGGAAAAGGGAGGAGGAGGAGGAGGAGGAGGAGGAGGTGGAGGCGGAGGAGGTGGAGGAGGTGTATCGGGTAGAGTTCGGGAAGAGGAGGAGGATGATGAGGAGGAGGAGGCGGAGTAGGGGGAGGGGGAAGGTGAGTCAGAAGGAGGAGGAGGAGGCCGAGGCCGAGGCGGAGGAGGAGGAGGAGCAGGTGGCCGAGCTTGAGGTGGAGGCCGAGGAGGAGATGGAGGTCGATGATGATGGTGATGATGATGATGATGATGATGATGATGCCGATGATGATGATGATGATGATGATGATGAGGATGATGATGATGATCATGATGATGATCATGGTGGTGGTGATGATGATGATGATGATGATGATGATGGTGATGTTGATGATGATGATGATGATGTTGATGAAGAAGAAGATGATGCTGATGATGCTGATGCTGATGCTGATGCTGCTGATGATGCTGATGCTGATGTTGATGCTGATGATGCTGCTGATGCTGCTAATGTTAATGCTGATGATGCTGATGATGCTGATGCTGCTGATGATGCTGATACAGATGTTGATGCTGATGATGCTGCTGATGATGATGCTGGTGTTAATGCTGATGATGCTGATGATGCAGCTGCTGGTGATGCCGATGCTGATGCTGATGCTGCTAATGACGTGGTTGATGATGATGATGATGCTGATGATGATGATGATGCTGATGATGATGATGATGCTGATGCTGCTAATGATGATGATACTGATGATGATGATGATGATGGTGACTAGGATGACGATGATGCTGTTGATGATGCTGATGATGATTATGGTGGTGGTTGTGATGATGGTGATCCTGTTGATGTTGCTGATGATGATGATGATGATGATGATGATGATGGTGGTGGTGGTGGTGGTGGTCATGATGATGATGCTGATGATGATGATGATGATGATGATGCTGATGCTGCTGCTGCTGATGATGCTGGTGGTGATGATGATGGCGATGCTGACGCTGATGCTGTTGTTAGTGGCGATGGCGGTGGTTCTGACGACGATGACGCGGACGATGCTGGCGATACTGCGGATGATTGTGATGGTGCTGGTGGTGATGTCGATGCTGATGCTGCTGATGATGCTGATGATGACGGTGATGATTATGATGATGGTGATGCTGAGGCTGATGATGACGCTGCTGCTGGCGATGATGCTGATGCTGATGATGATGGTGATGATGCTGTTGCTGCTCGTGACGATGTTGATGATGCTGGCGATGTTTATGATGCTGATGCTGCTGCAGATGCCGATGATGATGGTCATGCTGATGCTCGCGCTGATGCTGATGCTGATGCTGATTTTGATGATGCTGTTGCTGCTGTTGATGATGCTGATGGTGATGATGATGATGATGATGATGATGATGATGATGATGATGATGATGATGATGATGATGCTGATGATGATGCTGATGATGCTGATGATGATGATGATGATAATGATGATGATGATGATGATGATGATGCTGATGATGCTGATGATGATGATGATGGTGGTGGTGGTGGTGGTGGTGGTGATGATGAGGAGGAGGAGGAGGAAAGGGAGGAGGAGGAGGAGGAGGAGGAGGAGGAGGTGGAGGAGGTGTATCGGGTAGAGTTCGGGAAGAGGAGGAGGATGATGAGGAGGAGGAGGCGGAGGAGGAGGAGGAGGCGGAGTAGGGGGAGGGGGAAGGTGAGGCAGAAGGAGGAGGAGGAGGCCGAGGCCGAGGCGGAGGAGGAGGAGGAGCAGGTGGCCGAGCTTGAGGTGGAGGCCGAGGAGGAGATGGAGGTCGATGATGATGGTGATGATGATGATGATGATGATGATGATGATGATGATGATGATGATGATGCCGATGATGATGATGATGATGATGATGATGATGATGATGATGATGATGATGATGATGATGATCATGGTGGTGGTGATGATGATGATGATGATGGTGATGTTGATGATGATGATGATGATGAAGAAGAAGATGATGCTGATGATGCTGTTGCTGATGCTGATGCTGCTGATGATGCTGATGCTGATGTTGATGCTGATGATGCTGCTGATGCTGCTAATGTTAATGCTGATGATGCTGATGATGCTGATGCTGCTGATGATGCTGATACAGATGTTGATGCTGATGATGCTGCTGATGATGATGCTGGTGTTAATGCTGATGATGCTGATGATGCAGCTGCTGGTGATGCCGATGCTGATGCTGATGATGCTAATGACGTGGTTGATGATGATGATGATGATGATGATGATGATGCTGATGATGATGATGATGATGATGCTGATGCTGCTAATGATGATGATACTGATGATGATGATGATGGTGACTAGGATGACGATGATGCTGTTGATGATGCTGATGATGATTATGGTGGTGGTTTTGATGATGGTGATCCTGTTGATGTTGCTGATGATGATGATGATGATGATGATGATGATGATGATGATGATGGTGGTGGTGGTGGTGGTGGTCATGATGATGATGCTGATGATGATGATGATGATGATGATGACGATGATGATGATGATGATGATGATGATGATGATGATGATGATGATGATGACGATGATGATGCTGTTGCTTCTGCTGCTGCTGATAATGATGATGCTGATGCGATGATGATGCTGATGATGATGATGGCTGATGATGCATGATGATGATGATGATGAATGATGTGATGATGATGATGATGTGATGATCATGGTGGTGGTGGTGGTGGTGATGATGATGATGATGAGGAGGAGGAGGAGAGGAGGAGGAGGAGGAGGAGGAGGAAGGAGCAGGAGAGGGCTGCGGAGGAGAAGGCCGAGAAGGAGGAGGAGGAGGAGGAGGAGAGGAGGAGAGGAGGAGGAGTGAAGAGGAAGAGGAGGAGGAGAGGAGGAGGAGGGAGGAGGAGGAGAGAGAGAGGAGGAGGAGGATGGAGGAGGAGGAGGAGGAGGTGGAGGAAGGAGAAGAGGAGGAGGAGGAGGAGGAGAGGAGGAGGAGGAGGAAGAGGAGAAGGAGGAGTAGGAGGAGGAGGAGGAGGAGGAGGAGGAGGAGGAGGAAGAGCAGGAGAAGGATGAGGTGGAGGAGGCTAAGGAGGCAGAGGAGGAGGACCCTCGAGGCAGCCCGGCGGCGCTTCTCGCGGACGCCCGCAGCAGGCGGCGCCCTCGGGCGCGTCGCGGGCTCGCTCCAGCGGGCTTGGCGCGGCCCCGCGGGGGTGCTCGGCGCCCGTCGGGCAAGTTTGCGCGAGAGGGGCCCTTCGCCAGACGTTTCTTCGGGGCTCCCCCAGGCGGTTCGGTGACCACGCCGCTCGGCGCCTACGACGGGTGTGGTTACGCCGGTGTGTGGTTTGCGATCGGCGCCGGGAGTTTAGTCGGTCATCTCCTTCGACAGGAGGAATATTCAAACATAGTGAGCAACAATTGGAAGATTAGCGTGGCGAAGGACCCAACCAGATGCAATCACCAACGCGAGGACGCCGTCATCGTCGTCGGCGCGATCCGCATTTGCGCCCCGCACTGGCCACGCCGTCGTCGTTGTCAACATCGCCACCAGCATCGCTATTATCACCATCTTGTCTACCATTGTCGACGTTGCCATGATACCGCGCCCGCCCGGGGGGGGGGGGGGGCCTTCTGGCGGCCCGCGGGGCCCTCCAAATCGGGGGCCGAGAAGGGGGGCCCTGGCTGGAGGCGGGGGTGGCCTTCTGGGGGCCCGTGGGGGCCCCCGAGGCGGGGGTCGGGAATGGTGGTCCTGGAGGGGGGGTCCCGGCGGGGTGTCTGCCGCCCTCAGGAGGAGGGGGGGGGGCACGGAGGTGGGCCGCCGAGAGGACCGAGATGGCGGCCGAGGCGGGAGGGAAGCGCGCGCCGCACCCGCTGCGTCGGGCCCCCCTCCGGGCGCCGCCTCTGGCCGCGTGTGGCTTCGCCGCGAGGACCAGAAGAGGCTCAAGGACGGCATCGAGGCGCTCGAGACGGAGAACGAGGACTGGGAGGGCCCTTCTGGACGGCGGTGCGGGTCCTGCGGTCGCCTGCGTGTATCGAAAACGAGAAACGCTACAAACATAAACTTTTGGCGCTCCGCGCAGATTTCTTGGATCCGCGCTGGGCCCCCCCCCCTCCCGGCGGCGCCTCCGGCGCCGCCTTTGGCGCGCTCCGCGCGCCAGGGAGGGGGTCCAGCGCAGATCCAAGAAATCCGCGCGAAGCGCCAAATCTTTATGCTTCTATTTCGTTTGTTTGTTTTTGTTTTTTCTTCTAATGTCAGAGCGATCCTTCGCCAGAGTGACCTTTGGTGCGGGCCCACCCGGCCCCCCCGTAGCGCTGAATCCGATGCGACAGTAGCAGCGGCCTGCGCGCTTGGGTTGGGTCTTCCCGCGCCCCCCGAGAGCCCCGCAGGGCCATCCTTGCGTGTATCCGGCCTTCGTCGTGGCTGGGACGGTGTTGCGCGGAGTTGCATGTGCGTTTCGCGCGGACGGTTCGGCGATCGGAGTGGGCCTCGACAAGTCGCCCAACCTTTCGTCGAGTCCTGTATGCACCCACTTGCATTTGCGTTTCACGCGGAGGCTTCGGCGATCGGAGTGGGGCCCCGTCAAGTCGCCCAGCCTTTCGTCGAGTCCTGGTCTGCAACCAGCGGCAGCAGCGCCGAAGACCAGCCAAAGACGCCTCGGAAACGGCCCCAATGGCGCCAAGGAGGGTCGAAGAGGGCCCAGAGAAGGGCCCAAAAGGGGCCCAAGACGAGCCCGAGGCGGCCCAGGCGGGCTTCTGGACGACCCAAGCGCGAGCATCCCCGCGTGGGACCGCAGCCCCGTCCGTCTTCCCGTAAAAACCTGGACGGTTCTGGGCCGTTTTGGGCCCCGCTTGGGGGCCTAAATTGAGCCCGGGATCGTCCAAAATTGTATCCTGAGCGTGTCCAGAGACGGCGTCGAAGTGTACACGCTGAAAGATGCCCCAGGCGAGCCCGGAAGTCAGCCAGAAGAGGCGTCCGGGCGATCCCCGGCGATGCGAAAATCAGCCCAAACTGGTGTGTTGGGCTATATTATTGAGGTTTCCAGTCTGTACGCGTGGTTAAGCCCACGAAGCGTTCTTGAGGGCCCCAGGAGTTGATTTTGGAGCCCAAGAGGGGCCCCGAAGGAGCCAAAATAGAGCCCAAATGCGCCCGAAAAGTGTATTGGAAGCGTTGTGAAAATCGAACTCGTCTTGGACGCCGTTTGGAAGCCGTCTTGGGGCCGGAAAAGGGGATTGAGCGCAGCCGGGCGGCGGAATTGCGGAGGCGTCCGGGGGGGGGGAAAGGGGGGGGAAGGGCGAAGCTCTGGAAGGAGCCCTCGTAGTTAAGTCTCACACGCCCCTCTGCCCGGTGGGCGGGCGGATTCAAGAGGCTTGCGCCATTCCGCCGACCCCAAAAGAGGCGGGAAGTCCGCGGTTGAGGCGTCGTGGGCTTCTTGGGCACTATCTGGGGGCTCTTGTGGGCGTCTTGGGATCTGTTTAGTGGCCTGGCGGAGCCTCTTGGAGGCAGTTTTGAGCGTCTTGGGGGCCTCTTGGAGCTTCTTGGGGGCCTTTTCTGGGACGCTTGGGGGCTTCTTGGGGCCTTGGGGGGCCCCTTGGGGGGAAATATTGGATGTTCCGTTCGTGTTCCCCCTCTTTGCCTCTCTTTGGGCCCTCTTGGGGCGATCTTCGTAGGGGCCTCTTGGGCAGTTTTGGGGTGGTCTACGGTGCATCTTGGGCCGTCTTGGAGCGTCGGAAGCTCGAGAAGACGATAATCCCAGAAACAATGGAACACCTAAGGACAATCACAGATGTTTGCATCTCGGGGCCCTAGTGGGAAGGTTCGTGGGGCGTCTCGAAGGCCTCTTGGGGCCGCCTGGGGGCCTCTTGGGGCAGAAGGCTCGGATTTTCGGTTCGTGTTCCTTTTCTCGGGCCCCTTTGGGGCCCGTCTTGGGGCCCTCTTGGGCCGTCTCGTGTGCCTCTTGGGCCGTCTTGGGGCGCTCTTAGGCCGTTTTGGGGCCCTCTTGGGGGCCTCTTGGACTGTCTTGGGGACTTATTGGGGGCCTCTTGGGCCGTCTGGGAGCGTCGGAAAGCAGAAAAGGCGAGAACGCCAAAATCTGTTGTCAAAAATTAACGGAAGCCCTTGATGTTTGCCTCTCGGGGCCCTCTTGGGAAGGCTCTTGCGGCGTCTCGAAGGCGTCCTGGGGCGTCTTGGAGCCATCGCAAGCGTCTTGAGCCAATCGTTCAGATATTCGGGACCGTCAGAATTGGAAGCTCCGGAGTCTCCAGGGTGCGCTGGCAAGCCCGTCTACCCCCCCCCTTCAAACGAGATTCTGCTACCTGGGCGAGGGGGAACGGGGGAGGGGGACAGCCAATCATCTCACACGCCTTCTCACCCCTGGCAAGCGGGGGTCGGCGGATTTCGCGGAGCTCAGCTTCCTGCCGCGAACGGGTCAGCGACCCGTCTCGCGAGACGCTCTGCTGACACGGGTGGCGGCCTCAAGCATGAGCGCTTTGACGCCGGCTGCCCAGCCCTCGTCAGGCAGGGCCGCCTACGCTCTGGTTCAGGAGGGGAAAAAACACACAGACACAATTAATCGTCGATTTCCCAGAAAATATGGGAAAATATGGGAAGTGGTGGGGACGACAAAAACACAGAAAATATAGGAAAATATGGGGAATATTTTTATTTGTGTGTATTTATTTGTGTGTCCCAGTTTCCCTCCGCTGGTTCGATGCGCTTCGATTCGCTGGCTGGGGCTGCGATGCCGATCCGAGCCGATTCGGCCGGATGCGCTGGGCGTCACCCCGACATACTGATGCTATGTGTGCGTCGCCCCCCAGGGGCGACGCGCGCGCCCAGAAGTCTTACAGTATGTGCGTCGTGGCGGGCGCTTTCCGGCCACACCGCTCGGGAAACGATAACACTACAAGATGGGTATACTATAGCTTCGCGTCGGACGCGAGCCTCCAAGGAGGACATATCGTACTGGTATGTTTCGGTGCGTCCCGTGCACCGTCATCGACTGGGGCCAGCCGGAGCGGGGCACGGCTGTCCGATGTCGATGTGATTCGGGGCGGTGCGGTGGCGGTCCGATCCGTGCGGGGCCCGATTCGATGTCGCGATTCGATCCAGTTCGGGCCTGCCAGGCCCCCACGGAGAAGCCGAGCGCATCCAAGACCGCCAAGACCTCCACCCTCGATCCTCGAGGGTTGTTTTTTTCCTCATTGCGTTTCTCTGGAGTGTTCTAGCAGTAAGAAGGAAGGACCACAGAAGAGTCCCAGAGGGGGGGCGGGGAGCCCTAGACCGCCCAGTCTGGCAGCAAATTTGCGCTTGAGACTTCCTCACGTTTTCCGGAATCGTGCTCTCGCTTCAGTGCGGGCTATTTTTTTGGTCCGGGCGGCCAGGATCCTTTTGTAGAACACGCATCAAGGTGCACATGGCCGAGCCTTTACCCCAGTTCCGCCCGTCGGCGTTCTTAGGAACCCATAATCACACACATCACCCAGCCCGCTCCAATACTCGCGCAGTGCCTACCCGCAAACGTCAGAAAAGCACGTGTTCACCTCGACGTCATGGATCGTATATCCCCCGCAGCGGATCCAGGCCATCTGCGAGTACAGTGGCTGCGAGTACAGTGGGGGCCCATGCCAAGAAGCACCCTGTTTGCCGCCAGGGTGCTCTGGGTTTCTTGGGTTTCGATGGTTTTGCTGCGGAAAGCGCGGCGTTCCCACACCAACAATCAATGGACGCCCTGGGGTCCCAGGATTAGGCTTCTTGTGGAAGGTTTCTTGTGATCTGGCCTGCACTGTAGTTACTTTGCGAGTCGTGGGACGCGCTTGTTTGACACAGAGATGCACGTTTCCACGGGCCGACCTGCGCCAGAACCCGCCCCTTTTACCTCTGCTGCTGTTAGGGCACTTGAGGAGGAGGAGGATGATGAGGATGAGGACGAGGATAATGATGACGATTCTGATGATGATGATGATGATGATGATGATGATGGTGAGGATGAGGATGATGATGATGATGATGATGATGATGATGATGATGATGATGATGATGATGATGATGATGATGATGATGATGATGATGATGATGATGATGATACTGATGATGATGATGCTGATGATGCTGATGATGCTGATGACGCTGATGCTGCTGGATGTGATGATGGTTTTATGATGATGATGATGGTGAGATGATGATGAGCTGAGGCTGATTCCCTGATGCAAGATTCAGATGGCAATGCTGCTGCTGCTGAATGATGAATGGTTGATGGTGATGATGATGATGATGATGATGATGATGATGATGATGATGATCATGATGATGCTGATGATGGATGATGCTGATGATGGTGCTGCTGCTGATGATGAAATGATGCTGATGGTGATGTAGATGATGCGGTGATGATTATGGTGATGATGATGATGCTGATACTTGATGCTGATGCTGCTGATGATGATGATGATGATTAGAGTATGATGATGATGATGATGATGATGATGATGATGATTATGATGATGATGATGATGAGATGTTGATGATGCTAGATGCTGATGCTGATGCTGATGCTTGCTGCTGCTGATATGATGATGTGATGAGATGATGATGATGATGATGATGATGATGAGGATGAGATATTATGAATGATGATGATGATAATGATTATGATGATGATGATGATGATGATGATGGTGATGATGATGATGATCCTGAGGCTGATGATGATGATATGATGCATATGATGTGATGATGAGTGATGATGATGAATGAATGCTTTGATTAATTATGTGATGGACTGATGATGATTACATGAATGATGAGGATGATGAGAGGAGGAGAGGTGAGTAATTAGGAGAGGAGGAGTGAGATGAAGGAGGATGACCAGAGAGGACGGAGTAGTATGATGATGAGGAGGGTGAGGAGGAGAGGAAGGAAGCCGAGTCGAAGAGGTGGAGGCGGCGGCTTGGGAACACCACGCTGCTGGTGGCGCTGCGGGGCACGGCTGTGGGGCGGAGGGGGGCCGGGCGAGGAGTACAGGATCGCGAACGAGCGGCTGGAGAGGCAGCTGGCGCAACGGGGTGCTCTCCCGCGGGGTGGGCGTGGGGCGCCGTCGGAAGGGCGTCGGGGGAGGGGGAGGGGGAGGATGAGAGGCGATGAGGAGGAGGGAGGATGGCGTAGGATGGCGTAGGATGAGGATGGAGGAGGAGGAGAGGAGGGGAAGAGGAGGAGAGGAGAGGAGGGGGAGGTAGGACTGATGAGGAGGGAGGAAGGAGGAGGAGGAGGAGGAGAATAGTCGAAGGCGTAGTAGGAGTAGTAGTAGGAATGGGCAGGGAGGAGGAGGAGGAGGAGGAGGAGGAAGAGTAGGACCGCGGAGGAGGAGAGGAGGAGAGGAGGAGGGAGGAGGAAGAGGAGGAGGACGAGGAGGAGGAAGGAGGGATAGATGAGGAGGAGGAGGGAGGAGGGGAAGGAGGGGGTATGATGCGGGACGACGCGCTGATGTACCTCGAAGAAGGACATGCCATAAACATACACGTTTGGCGCTCTGCGCGGACTTCTTGGATCCGCGCTGGGCCCCCCCGGCGGCGCCTCGAGCGCCGCCCCTGGGGCGCTCCGCGCGCCAGGGAGGGGGGTCCAGCGCAGATCCAAGAAATCCCCGCGGAGCGCCAACAGTTTATGCTTATGCAGTGTCTTTGTTTCTAATGCCGCTACCCTTCCCTTTGTTTTTGTTTTTCGCCCCCCCCCCCCCCTCCCCTAGGAGGCCCTCGTCGCCCCGGCTGGATTCTCGTCGAGATTCTGGTCAGAACGCACCCCAGGAGATGTCCAGGGAGTGGCGGTGTCGATACCTTTTGGTTTCCCAGATGCGGGAGGATGGAGGAGGGTGGAGGATGGACATGGAGGAGGATATGGAGAAGGAGGAGGAAGGAGGAGGAGGAGGAGGAGGAGGAGGAGGATTGGATTGGGATTGGGACCCAAGGACGTGGTCAGACCGGAGACAGAAGAGCCAGGCTGCCTGCTCGACTCACGCGAAAGCACCCTGAGGCCCTCGCGCCAGCCCGCCAGGATGACACCCCTACGGGCCCTGTCTTCCGTGCAGCATCGGCACGGCCCGTCGCCAGGTCGGGCGGCATCGGCTTCGTGCTTCGGGGGGCCCGCCTCGCGGCCCGCGGACCTGGCGCCCACGCGCCACGGATCCCGAGTCCATGTCAGCGTGCGCCCGAAGTGAGGAGGACGGGGAATGGAGGGTGGGGACACCATGGGGGAGAAGCAGGATCGGGGGAGAAAAAGATACGGATACGTGTTGTCCCCCTTCGTTTTCGGCCTTTCCTGGTCCTCCTGGGGAATCCTCGTTGTCACCGCTGGATTCGCCTCGAAATTCTGGTCAGAACGCACCCCAAGAGAGGTCCGGGGACAACACGTATCCGTATCTTTCCGCCCCCCAACAGGCAGGAGGACGGAGGAGCAGGAGGAGGAGGAGGATCGGATTCGGGATTGGGTGACCAACGACGTAATCACGTCAAAGGAAGACAAGGATGTTGTCGCCTGTCCGACTCACGCGAATACTTGGAGTCTCTCGCGCCTGCCTCTAAGACGACACCATCTATAATGACGACATCGGCGCCGCCTGTAAATGATTGGTCGCCGCAGGTATCTCGATACGTGCATATATATGTATACATAGCACGGTTTTAGGGTACACCAAGCGTATCAGCACTGCACGCTCACTGCGTACAACGAATTCCAGCCCAGCGGAAATAGCCACCCGCCTGGCGAAAACCAAATAGCCATTTTCAATTCCATAGCATGTTGCCAACCATCGAAGCTAGCCCGTTGGCATTCTGGCAGAACTGAAGCGTGGGAGAAAGCAGTCAGCCATGACAACGCCAGTCAAGAAAGGCATGCGCACGCACAAGAAGGTGACCTGCAAGAAATAGCACAGCTGCAACACGCCGCAACTCAGGACGAGCGGCTGTGAAACGTCATTGTCTCAACAGGTGAATTAAGTATTCAACACGACACACCTCTGTAAGGCACCGCCAAGCTTAGAAGAGTATTCAGTAGCAAAGAGCATCTCCTCACATTGTCTTGCGCGCCTCATGCTCCTGTGCACCTTCCCGCGCGTGCGGTACGCCTCACGAGCGTCAGGCAACACGATAGACATGTTTCCCCCCCCGCACCTCGAGCCACACGAAACACTCGGTGACCAGCAGGAAGAACGGCAGACACCAACGTGCCGCAATACCCGTACGGGTACCCCATAGGCACAGCAGTACAGTGGAGACCCATGCCAAGAAACACCCTTCTTGCCTCCAGAGTGCCCCGGGTTTCTTGGGTTTCGATGGATTTGCAATGGAAAACGCGGTGTCCCCACCAAGCACCAATGGGCGTCCTGGGGTCTCGGGGTGGGGTTTCTTGCGGAAGGTTTATTGTGGTCGACCCCCTATTGTATATGATATACACACAGGCAAATTTGGGTTGAGGACCTGCTAGCAAAAGCATGCGTCAAACCGAGCGGTGCACGTACCCTGGCCAGCACAGAGTAGGACTCCAACACCCGCCCCGGAGAACGCGTCCAGCCTCGCCAGCCGACAGTCGTCGCAAGCAGCGCGCGGCAGACATCGGAGCCCCCCACGGTCCTCGAGAAGGCACTGGACGCGACTT